AGGAAGAAAGTTCAAGCGATGCAGACGAACGAGAAGCCATAGGCAAAGGCAGCGGTTTTTCTGGAGGGGAAGAAAATTGGGGAAGAAAGAGAGGGTTTGGAGAAGGCCTCTGGTCTTGGGATTGTGGGGGAATGCTGGTGCTTTGTGGGTTTTGGGGTTGTCTGGGTTTTTGTGATTTTGCAGATTCACAGTGGTGAGATTTGATGAAAAAATGAAAGAGAACTGACATAGTTTTTATGTCGTTTCCCACAGACGGCACCAAATGTTGATGCACAAAACCAGAGGTCTTGGAACAACATAAATCCGATCGTGAATCTGCATGAAATGTAAATAACACGAGATGTATCGTGGTTCACCCCAAGATTTGGGCTACATCCACACTGATTATGTATTTATCTGAGAGGTGAGGGAGAGAACCTCTGAATATGAGAGGGGATGTGAGAGGGGTGAGAAGGCTTAAGAAATGGCCTCCCCTAATTGTAAGGGTGATGGGTCCTTTTATAGAATAAGGACTCCTCACTCATTACATATTTGCCCATTCCTTTATCACATAATTACATTTAAGTCCCCTGAGTATTTGTACGAGATCTAAATACGAGGCCCTAAATATGGTATAAACACACTTAATCCCAACAAATTTGGCACTTTAGTTGACTTCTTCTATAAAACTTGAACCATTCTCCTATTGTTCACCACAAAACCTGAGTTTTCTTGTTTCATCATTTTCAATAGGGTTCCTTCCCTTGAGAATCTTTGCATTTTTTACTGTGAGTAAACTGTGTAAAATTTGAATTTTCCCAATATATTTGGCTTCGGTCAGGTGATGTAGTGGCTTTGGTCGATTATGATAACACTACTAAAAACATTATATATGATATATGTTTTATGAAAGGTTTTATGGCATGATAGGTTTTCGGAAAACCTATTACATTTTTAGTCAAAATGGTCCCTGAGATTTGCATGACACATCACTTTGATCCTGGAGATTGAAAATCAATAGAAATGGTCCCTGAGATTGTCTACCATCCATTATTTTGGTCATTCCGTTAAAAACTTCATTAAGTGTTCTGGAGCTCTTGGCCGAAAGTTTGGACAATTTTCAAAGTTTCGTAACTTAATCGTTTATTAACCAAATTCAAACCATGATACATCAAAATGAAGATAGGAACGTTGAGAAAAATATTATACCTATTTAGAAGCCCAATGGTTGTCGTAGATGGCCGAAAAATAGCCTGAAAGGTGACTGGTCCACCGGAAAACTGAAAAACTCGTTGGAAACTGGGTAAACTTTAAACGTTCATAACTTCTTCAAAACTCAACAAAATCGAGTGATTCAAAAACAAAAATCATACTTCTCGACAAGAAAAATAGAATGATACCTTTCTTGATGGCTAAATCATCGTGCTTTGGCTGAAAAACGGCCCGAAAATTATTGTCTTGGTCTCGAGTTAGCCACTTTTAGGCCGTTTACGGACCAAACCACGACGAATTAGTTATCGAGAAAGGTACCATTCTCTTTGTCTCATCAATAATTATGATTTTTGTTTTTGAATCACTCGATTTCGTTAAATATTGAAGAAGTTATGAACGTTTAAAATTTACCTAGTTTCCAATGAGTTTTCCAGTTTTCCTAGGGACCATTCACATTTCAAGCTATTTTCCGGCCATCTCGGTAACCATTGGGCTTCCAAATAGGTATAATCTTGTTCTACACTTTCCTATCTTCATTTTGATACATTATGGGTCGAATTTGGTTAAGAAACGATTTAGTTACGAAGTTTTGAAAATTGCCCAAACTTCTGGCCAAGAGTTCTGAGACACTTAACGGAGTTTTTAACGGAATGACCAAAATAATGGATGGTGGACAATCTCAGGGACCATTTCTATTGATTTTCAATATCAGAGACCATTTTAACTAAAAAACCTACATATTATTACTATTGAGTTTTCATAAACTTTGGGGGTTAGTACGTTGATGAATAACTGTTTCTGTATTACTTATATATCAACTTGGTCCACTCATGTTTTGTTTTGTGCCCCCTCAAGATTTAGAATCGAGGCATACAATCCTGACGTTAGGGTACTCCCGCATCGGCATCTTTAAGTCCTCTCGGTGTAGGACCCATCCCTTTGTTCATTCAATTTTATATTATTCCTTTGTAGTGTCTTGGGTTAGTTATATGCTCTGAATACGTTCCACAATTGCATATTCATTATAATTAAATTTACAACTTTTATTTATGTCAGTTATTTGTTTTTAGTTCTCATGCATCCTTTTATGGTTTCGTCACCTTCGAGTGTCGGCCAGTACGTGTCTACCCCGATGTTTGGAGGATATCAGGGTCGGGCGTGTCACATAGGTACATAAGTATCGGTTCATAAGTTTTGGTAACAATATATCGATACATAACTTTTAAAACGAATGTATCTGTACAAATGTATCGGTACGTAACTATAGTATTTAAACATACATATGTACGTAATATGCATATACATATATATGGAGAAATTCACGCACAATAAAAAAATATATGATAATATATGACTTCTTTTATTATGGAAACTTAACAATAACCATCAATGATAAATAACATTTTTATTATTTATGGGAATCAATATATAACCTACAAACAAAAAAGTCAATAATTACTACAACCTATTTAATATTAAAAAATTATAATTAAATGCCAAGGATTAGAATGATTTTTTAACAAAATTTAATGAAAATGATTTGAAAATTTTGAGTTTTACCGATAAGGACAAAATAAAGGGTAAAGTGAATAATACCATGATTGATTTTTTGGTGTAAAAATATGATTTTTCGTTAAAGTGAATAGTATCATGAGTTTTTTTTGTTAAAGTTACCTAGTTTTTAATCTTAGACAAGATTTTATTCAAAAAGTAATCTTAGACAAGATTTTATTCAAAAAGTAATCTTAGACAATGATTAGAATATAATTTTAATTTTTTTTTAACAATCTACTGTGAGAGACAGAGAGAGTAGGCTAAGACTATAAGAGCTAGTAATAATGTAGTTCAAATTTACTTTTATAAAAAATCAAACCTAAAATTTATCATTTATAAGTGAAAAAAATATCACTAATTGTAGTATTTATCTTTTAAACATTATACACATAGGTAACTATGTACTTTTCCCGTGTGATACACCATTGGAAGTGCTTTTCGGAACAGCGTGCATGTCGCTTTTGAGATAAGATCTTGTCCAAATGTCCATGGCTTCGTGACAGCTGTGAGAAAGTGACGATCAACCTACATGCAAGTTGCTTGAGGGAGCACAAGTGCTCTGCCAACTTTGAGTAACTGACGATCACATACGGAAAATGATTCCGGATCATTTTCTTAGGAATTCTGTAATCGTATATTATGTGATCAGAAATTATTTAAAATTTAAAATTTAAAATTCAAATATAAATAGTACATAACGAAAACTAACTTCATGATATATGATGAACAAACATAATTACTATGTATGATGAACGAACATAATTACTAAATCCCTTGGAAAATGATCAGCCGAGGATCATTTTTCCGTCACATACATGCATGTTGGCAGAGCACTTTGAATTGGGGCCCTAAATAAGTCTTCGAATTGGCTCTAAAGTAGTAAAATGTACTGACACGTGGCGCTTTATACATTAATATGTAGAAAAAATTCTGCTAAATACATGAAAAATATATGGGTAAATTACAAAAAAACTACCATAATTATTGATTTTACGACATTTTTATACCTCATGTCAGAGCTCTGTCAGTTTTTCTGTTACTTTTCTTGTTAAATGCTGACGTGAACCTCGGCGTCAATCACAAGAGACTGAAACCGTTTGTAGGGTTTGTATGGACGACAACGACAAGGAGGCTTGAGCTCACGGCGTCAATCATAAGTGTCTTGAGATTTCAAAATTGGGGAAAACAGAGAAAATGAGATGGATTAGGATCTGCAGGTACATTAGTCGATCATCCCCTCTCCAAAGCATTTCCGGCGACCTGCCAACGGGGACCAGCGGAGTGGCAGCGATTGAATAGAAGGACGACGATGGCGGTGAAGACGGAGACGAACAGCGCGAGGCAATTGAAGAAACGACAGAGAGTTGGCTCTGCAATGACGCCATTGGAGAGAGGGAAACCCTAGGAAGAGAGCTAAGAGAGGAGAAATGTACTGGTTTTGAATAGCCTGATACTACAGTGAGAGGAGAGGAGACACGTGGGTGATTGAAAGGTGCGAGGGAAGCTCGCGTGTGTTTGAGATTAGAATTAGGACAGCTAGTTGTGCGGGAAGTTGAGGATCGCTTTGGCGCCCCGAAGCTTGAATGCTGCTCGATCGTAAGCCTTGGCTGCTTCAATCGCCGTGTCGAACTGGATCCACTCAGTTTTGTTGGGAAGCGAGATTATGAGTGCTGGCTTTCGGAATGGGTTAGCGGGTTTAGGTTGCAGGGAAGGGGAAAGAGAAGGAATATGGGTTTTGGATTTGGGTTGCGGGAAAGGGGTCGGGGAAGATAAGGTGTTTGGTTTTTTGTTTTTTGTTTTGTTTTTTTGTTTTTTTAAGGGTAAATTATTATTTTTATTAATTTTTTAATAAATTGTGGAATCCGAATCAAGCCATATCATCATTTAACCGAGAAATTCACAACCAACCCAATGAATGTATAATGGACCAAATTTTAGAGATGTGGTATGACATTGTCAATTTTAATGGATAAAGTATGATAGTGTAGTGAGACGAGGTAATTTTTTGTCATTTACCCCAAATATATTTATGCATCAAATACAATTAAAAATTAATATAAAAAAAATCAAATACAATTAAAAATTAATATAAAAAAAATAGAGATATACAAGCAACAACTACGCCTGTTCCACTACATCAGCATGCTTTCTATGTCATGTATTTGACTTTTATCCTATTTATAAGAGAAATAAATATATTAAAAAAAATTTGGAGCCCCAAAAAATAGGACGTCCTAGGCGGTCGCCTTACTCGGAAGATTATGCCGCGTATCAAAATAAAACTAAGACAACGTTGTCCACAAAATAGAAACATTGGGTTGGGTTTCAGGTCGTCTTCTTAGAATCGCACGAGGCCCCTCTGAGTAGTGAGTACTAGTAAGCAGTAACATACTAACATGGAGCAATTCAAAGGGCAGCCTCGGCTTCCGAAATTCGCCTTGCCGAAACGGTACGACTTAAGGCTGAAGCCAGACCTCAAAGCTTGCAAATTCAGCGGCTCCGTCGCCATTCTCGTCGACATCGTCTCCGAGACCCGGTTCATCGTCCTCAACGCTGCCGAGCTCTCCGTCAATGCCGTTTCCGTCTCTTTCACTCACACAGATTCCTCCAATGTGTATTATATACTACTGATCTCATCTGATCATCCATGCAATTAACTAGGATGCCTAATTTGAAAGCAGACACTCCTCGATTAATTGTTTTAATTTCCTTTAAGTGCTCCTGCTGTTCTGTTCATGCTTTCAAATAATTAATAACTGGATGGATTGATTATATAAATTCAAGTTATGAAGCACCGATCAATTTATTCAATCCTGAATCGAGGAAACACCAAAACACATATATATGTACTCTCCGTCTCCGATACGACCACCCGAAACGAGAGTGTTTTTTACCCTACACATTAAACTTTGAAGTGAGGGTTGCGTTCAGGCTTCTATGGATCCACATGCTAAAGTATTGCTGACGGAGGTGGAAATTTTATTAGAGCTCAAGAATTTATCGGGGTTTACTGCTTGTTAGGATTTCTACTTGTTGGGATAGGAAACAGGTGGAATGACGGAAAAGAGAGAGAACAGTTTAGTGGGTGACTTTTGAATTCTTTATCTTTATCCAAAAATTAGTTTTACATTTTTAAATCTTTTCAAAAATTAAAGGGCATCATTTAATTTCAAGTTAACCAGGGTATTATACAGGACACGTGGCAAGCTCATTAGGTGATGGTGAGTAGAAATGTTCCCATTTAATTAATGTAATCATTTCAATATTTACTATGTTTTAAAATGATTTGTTATTATCACTGATTTGGTAATATTCTTTTTTATTTGGAAGTGTTCGAATCTCGTGAATAGCAAATTCGATACCAAATTAGGTTGCTCATTGTATGACTTAGTCGAACTCCCCCTCCCCTAGTGTAAAAATATCGATGTACTAAAAAAAAAGAATTTTTATTGACACTCCAAAAAATATCATTTGTACTCCAAATTTTCTATAATTAAAAAAAATACATTGAAGTATAAAATGAGATTTATGGAGTGCTAATAACATTTTCCATTTTAAATATTTTTAAGGTTAAAAATATAATTTTAATATTTTTCAATTGTAGCATAAATTTTGAGTTTTCATGAATGGCCGAACTCCCCTCCCAAATCCCGGCTCCCCTATCCTTGCTACATTTTTTTTTTGAACAAACGATATTATTTACATTGAGGGGGAGAGGTGGGTTTAGCCTCACAATGGGCTAGCAATAATGTGGTTCAAACTCACTTTTGACGAGACTCGAACCTAAGATCTGTCACTTACAAGAGAAGAGAAGAGAAATATTATTAAACCGTAATACTAAGTGGCATTCTTGCTACATATTAAGATGCTAATTTTTTTTTTTTAACAAACGATATTATATATACACTAAGGGGTACGGGAGTGAGCTAAGCCTCACCCTCACATTGGGCTAGTCATCAATAATGTGGTTCAAATTCACCTTGGCAAAAATCGAATATAAAACCTATCACTTACAAGTGAAGAGGAATATCACTAACCGTAATACTAAGTGGCATTAAGATGCTAATAATAACATTAATTTTCAACTTTTACTGCCTTGTTTGGAGTACAAGACAAAAGTCATTGACATAACCGGAGGAATTAAAGGCTTAAGTGGCTATTGAGATGAGATTTTGCTTTTGGAGTTTGGGGAGACATTCCGATTGGAAGGGGAGTTTTGGCTATTTTATTTGAAGGAATTCTGGATGACAAGATGCAGGGATTCCATAGAGTGTAATGCTCCTTGAGTTCCGGATTCGTTATCCTGTTTGTTTATCAACTTTTGATTTTTCAATGTGCCTATTATATTTCAGTGGTAAAATTTGATTTATCCTGTGCAGTATGTATGAGCATAACGGTGAGAAGGAATATATGGCTGCTACACAATTTCAACCGGTTGATCCCAGGCGGTGCTTTCCGTGTTGGGATGAACCTGCTTGGAAGGTCGCTCTCGATTTTTCTCTCTGATAGTTGAATTAGTTGAATAAATCTTGATATATGTTTGTATCTAGTCATTTTGTAAAATCAATATGGATACTTTCGCACTGCTTAACCGCAGCTTTGAGTCTCAGAAGAAAGATAGGTTTTTATGGGATAAGAAATCATTCCTTAAGTTATTGTTAGATTGTTTTACTAGGATTGTTTGAATTGACCCCATTTATTCTTATCGATTGGAACTTTGATTGGCAGGCTACATTTAAGATTAGACTGGATGACGTTCCATCTGAATTAATTGCACTGACCAACATGCCCATTATTGAAGAAAAAGTGGATGGACATCTGAAGACTGTTTTGTATGAAGAGTCACCTATCATGTCGACATACTTGGTGGCCATTGTTGTTGAGTTGTTTGATTACATTGAAGATCATACATCTGATGGTAAAACTCATACACAACATCTCTTGTTCTGTATTTGTTAGTAACCGTTTCTTGACAGTGTCATATTCCATCTCCTCACAGGAGTCAAAGTGCGGGTATATTGTCAAGTTGGTAAAGCAAACCAAGGGGCGTTTGCTCTGAACTTTGCTGTCAGCGCTCTTGAATTTTACGGAGAGTATGTTTATGGATCTCAAAATAACTCAATGAATCCTTTCTCTGATTTTTGTCCCCTTCCGTGCTTATGTTCAATTGTTTATCATTTGATATGAAATCAATGACAAAAAAGTTCTACAGTTACTTTGCTGTGCCATACCCCTTGCCAAAATTAGATATGGTTGCAATCCCTGATTTTTTTGGCGCCATGGAGAACTATGGTTTAGTTACATACCACGAAACGGTTTTGCTCTTTGATGAACATAACTCTTCAGCTGCCAACAAGTAAATGGTAACATACACATACTGAATGTCAATCTTGTTTTCATAATTTAGCTTCATTCTAGCTATTGTTTTTTAACCTTAATCATTTCATTTTGTTTTTGTGGAAGGTTGCAACTGTCGTGGCACATGAATTGGCACACCAATGGTTTGGCAATCTTGTGATGATGGAATGGTGGACGGATTTATGGCTAAACAAGGCATTTGCATCATGGGTATCACTTTCTTCATTTGTTGTACTTGTTATTTTATATGCTTTTAGACTTAAAAGTTCATGTTTTGACGTCATTAGGTGAGCTATTTAGTTATAGACATCTTGTTCCCAGAGTGGAAAATATGGACTCAGTTTCTTCGCATTGAAGTTAGTGGGGGTCTTAAGTTGGACGGGCTTGAACAATCTCATGCCATTGAGGTACTTCAAATTGGACTAGGTCTTCCACAGATTTTTTATTCTGTCTGAAGTTTTATTTTTCGCGGCATAGGACCTTGATCACCTGCATAACAGGCTTTAAATAGAAATATGCACGTATACTTTCACATTTGTAGTATTTCTTGTACACCTTATTCCCTTTTTTTCGCTAGGTGGATATTAATCGTGCTTCCGAGCTTCATGAAATATTTGATGCAATATGTTATGATAAAGGAACTTCTGTTGTTAGGATGCTACAAACCTATCTCAGTGCCAAATGCTTCCCGGTTGGTCTTTTGGTTTGTTAGCAATTGTCCTTGACGACTAAACCAACAATCTTATTTATGAGATTTTTTTACATTTATTCCATGGAAATTTCCGAAAAATAAAGGCTTCAAGGCATGCAGGATTAAAAGAGGATATATCCTGAAAAATGATTATTCTTTGAGATTTTTGTTCACTCGTCTTCTGGTTCGTATTGGTTATCAAATACGTTTCTCATGAAAGTTACAGAGTTAACCGCCTGCTATTTTTTCATGCGTCCAGAGGTCACTTGCTTCGTACATAAAAAAGTATGCTTCATCAAATGCAAAGACAGAAGATTTATAGGCTGCCCTTTAGGAGGGATCGGGTGAACCAGTGAACAAGCTAATGAATTCATGGACACAACAAAAGGGTTACCCTGTTATATCTGTCGAAGTCAAAGATCAGAAATTGGAATTTGATCAGGTTTTTCCATATGTTGCCTTCCTTGAAAATCTTGTTTGACTATCAGACGAAATTCTAAACGAACATCTCAGAGGTCTAATGCACTTTTTTAAAGTTTTTAAATCGTTCGTTTAGGTTTTATTCCATGGTACAAAGATCTAATAAGTTGATTAATAAATGGCAGACACAATTCTACTTGAGTGGTTCCCAAGGCAACGGGCAATGGATTGTGCCAATAATATATTATGTTGTGGCTCCTATGATGCACGCAAGAGCTTCTTGCTACGAAATAAGTCTGAAACTCTTGACGCAAAGGAAGTTTTGGGTTGCTCCATTGCAAAGACAAGATCGAGTTGGATAAAAGTCAATGTGTATCAGACTGGTTTTTACAGGGTGAAATATGACGAGGAACTTTTAGCTGCTCTTGGATATGCTATAGAAAATAAACACTTGTCTGCAACTGACGGATATGGTAATCACGTTTTTATGCTCACACACTTGTTTATCTCTTCGATAGTGAAATTGGAAGTATTCAGTTCAGCTTTCATCATTTCTTTTCCTTCAACAGGAATTTTGGATGACTCGTTCGCCATTTCTACGGTTTGCTTGCAGTCTTTTGCTTCATTGCTTACCTTGTTGGGTGCTTACAGAGAGGAACTTGACTATATAGTGTTGTCAAATTTGATCACTGTAATGATCACCTCTGCATTGTGTTAATTTTCTGGACTTATAGCCTTAGTGTAATTCATGTTTTCACCTTTCACAGATATCTTATAAGCTGGCAAGAATTGCAGCTGATGCTGTACCGGATCTACTGGATCTTATTAATCAGTTCTTTCTTAGCCTTTTTTAGTACTCTGCAGAGTAAGCTTGTTCTCTTTTTTTTTTCCCTCAACTAGCCAAGTACCTAAAAGGTCATACCCAGTGCACAAGGCTCCCGCTTTACGCAGGGTCTGGGAAAGGTGAATGTCGGCTAGCCTTACCCCCATTTTATGGAGAGGCTGCTCCCAAGTACCTAGCTAGATAAAAATTCTTTACGCAGACATTGGTTCTTTAATGAATAAAAATGGGTGTCCAGTTGGTACTGCCTACAATGATATCGTTACATTATTTCATGGCATATCGACAAATTGGTATTCATGCATACTGTCTAGGTAAATACGCTTGTGTGATGATAAGAGGGCTGGAGCAAAATGTTTTAACACTCCCAAACTATCCACAATTTTGCTTCTTTCTTTTCGTTTATTTATATATTTAAATTTGGTTTTGTTTCCAGGAAGCTTGGCTGGGAGCCTAAACCGGGTGAGAGCCATTTAGATGCA